AAAACAAGATGTGCTGCAGGTAAATCGTTTGTGAGGCATTCTTTTACTCCAGACTTTTTTTTTTCTTGGACCCTGACTGTTAAATGCTGCCCAGCTCTTAATCCGTTTGCCTTCTTCTGTTTAATGAGTAAACAAGGAGGAGGAAAATGCATGTATGCATAGGAGCTAGACTGTTGAATGACTGCATGTGGCTATTTGTCTGCAATGTTTAACCTACCAACAATGAAAAAGAATAGATTCAGTCCTTGTTTTTAACCAGAAGCCATGCTTTTCTTTCATTTTTTGGGTGAATAGATATAGCTAGGGTCCGATGGTTTTGTTTTAAGTTCCTTGTATGAATAAGGGAATTCTACAGTGCATCATAACACTTTTCTATTGAGATCAATCATCAAGGTGAAAGCAGAGTGATGGACATTTACCAGATGTGCCAGGGCTTGTCTTTGATGTTCTCCAAACACAACATTTGCGAGACCTTGACAGAAGAGAGAGCATCCCGCAGATCCATCTTGTTTGCAAAGAACAGCACTGGGATCTTTTTGTTGCGGATATCTAAGAAGACAGCATAAATATCTGAAACCTCAGTTGAGTTATTGCACATCTGCCTTTCAATTTAGAGGAAGATATATCACAGAAAATGCTCCCTTATGATATTGGATGTTTAATTATTCCACCACATGAGAACACCAGCTATTTAAAATCCATCTGCCACTGCCACTCAATTTACACAACAGTAGTCAAATGTTGCCAATTAGATCACCTAATTTCATGCCACACTATGCAAACCCTCAGTCTGTCCTAATGAAAGTTGACTTAGTTCTGGATGCTAAATGATCAGAGTGGCTCCAATTCCCTTTTCAGATTTTTGCTGATAATTATTGGATAGCTTTAGGGTGCTAATAGAGAATAAAAAAATGATTCCCAGATGATCATTTAATATTCATACATAGTGGGGTGAAAAACACTGAAAAAAGAAATAAAATAAAGCAGGGATGTAAACAATAAGTAATGTATTCCATGCTAAATACTGAATTCCAAATGCATCGATCCCTAAACACAGAGAGACACATTTGGTCCCTCTTGTTGATGCTATAATCTGGGCAAATGTAGATGTTGAATAGGAGGGCCCCCAGAATGGAGCCTTGAGGAACCCTGCATGTGATTTTTCTGGTCCCATATTAAAGATATAGAATAGTTTAAAAAGTAACAGAAGGTGTCAAATGAAAAATCATATTTATCATTTATAATTAAATGCTTTATGATCTATGTCTATAAACAAGTTTAGATCCAACAGTGTATTATTCTTTACTCTATTTTTGGTCATCTGTAATTTTACAATTGTAAACCCTAACCCTAATATATCAGCGATATTTGACACTTTCTAAACTAAAAGTCTTCTAAAGTTACGAGTAATGTAAAAATATATATCGATTATACCTTCATGGTTTAGAAGAGTTTCGAGCTCTTCCTTTGCCACAACCATTCTCAGTTTGTCGCTGCTATCAATGACGAATATAATTGCATTGCTTTCCCTATAAAAAAAACAAGAACAATCAACTAATAATAATTCACAAAGGTCAAACTAAAGCTTTATATACCATATGAATGCATCCAGTATTTTTGTACCCTACTTGTAGTAATGCTCCCATAAGCTTCTGTATCTGTTTTGGCCAGACATGTCAAAAACTGTGAAGGACAGGCTGCAAGGAGTGAGAAAACAACACAAAAAGAAGCAAAATTAGTTGTATTGGGATTAGGATATGGGTATTACTGTACACTTCCGAGATGACTTTGTGTTTTACCTGGAGCTTTTGAACTTTTCAATGTTGAAGCCGATCGTCGGGACTATGTCTTGAGCCTGTGTCTACATGTACGCACATTTGCACACATTCACAGACACATGCAAACACACAAAGGCAGACAAGTAATGGCAAAAGTATGTCAACGAAGAAATTAAGGGAGGTATGAAGTGGGCTTTACCTGACTAACATGTTTCCATTCTTCTGACAATGGACCTAAATGATTGGGATGCTGAAAACGAATGATTGCATAGAAATAATAATCTGCATCCCAATGTGTACTTTTATAGCATTAAAAAATAATCTATCTGCTAAATGGATGTCAGTACCCACATAACAAGATTGGAAAAACAACATAACGAAGTGTTACAGTTTGTGACATTTTGCTAAAACTTAATATTTAAGCTTAAATCCTTAAACCAAAACTTACATTTGATGGCTTGAGCTGGTTGATGATTGTAGTTTTGCCGCTGTTGTCCAGCCCCAAGCACAAAACGTTGACTTCTTTCTTCCTTAGGCCAAGCCAGCCGGACAGTTTATCAAGCAGCCCCATTTCACTCAACTCAATGCTAGACCACTTAGATTTTTTAAATATTACCCCATAGATTCAGGAAATCAGATTTGTTAGATTTGAAGATTTTCTCTAAAGCGACATTAATAATAAAACATAGGCCTTAGTGGTGCTCCAGTGCTGTTGCTGTGAATTGATAAAATGCTGCCTGGCCATCGCCAGCTTGTGGAAGGTAATCCTATTAGGTTGAATTAAATCCAGTGAACCACCCGGTGGCCTGCTCGTTGAATGTGGAGCTTAGCAGGCCCCCAATCCTGATGCATTTGATTTATTACACATTAACACACTGAAGAATTCCCTTTAGCTTTTGGATCCTGTTATAGGAATATAACATCTAATAGAAGCAGCCCTTTCTCTACCTGCAGCCACTTTGGGGGTGTGCAGCTTTACAATTTAGTTTGACTCATGGGTTGAAATAAATGATGTATCACTTTATGATGAACAAAGGTCTAAAATATCACATTTCCTAATTATTTTTTACAGCAACACATTTGGACCTTTTACATAAAATGTTTGAATCATCTCCATGATCCAACAGCTCCATCTTATGGTAACTACAAACGATTTTCATTTCATATATACTGATAGGAACAATGAAATTTTGAGTTAATTTCTAATTAAACTTAAGAGTGAGCCATACAAATTTTGGCTTATCAAACTAAGTGATTTACTTTCTGAAATATAATAATTAAACATGTTTACATTTTGTCAAACCTTCACCACTAGCAGCACTTTACTTTATATTGATTTTATGTAGGATAGTTATAAAATAACTCTAGTTTCAATCCTCAAGGTTTCATGTATAAATATCTAAAATGCATCAATTTTCAACCTCATTTACTTTGATAATACTAAATAAAACAATGTGGAAAAATTGACTTTCAGAAATCCCCTCTGTAGTCATTAAAGCTCACCTTTGTGTAATAAATGTCACATTAGCCTGATGACAAATTCTCTACATTGATACCATGGTAGTGATAGTTTTATTCAGCAGGTAGGCTGTTGAGATGTTGATAAGCCAAGGTTCTGTAATGTTTCATGCTCTGGACTGCTTTGGGAATCACTGACTGCTTCTTTGAATGGTTTTCATTTCTTTCACTGCACTCCACAACAATAAATTTGCCATGTTCACTTGTGCCTGTCTAATTATCTCCATCTGGACTCTCCAGGATATAAACTAGTTCAAGCCTCAGTACAGTTGCCAGATTATCTAAAGCTTCATGCAGATGAAATCCAGCCTGTAAGAAATGAAGAGAAGCCTCTTCTTGGGCTTTCCCTGCCTAGTTTTCCTGAGGTGTCTGTTTTAATGGTCCTAACCAGTGACTTCTCTTTGCCACCGGATCAGCATTTACAAAGTGCTGATTGAAGTGAGCATTTCTGGTTTCACACAGCCTCTGACAGTCTTTTTCTTCTCCAGATCTGCACACAGTTCTTTCTATCCAATATCCTAAGTTGCCTTATTTCAAAATTGGTGATTACAGATGCTCAGACTGAGTTTAGGTTGCTTTACAAAGAAAATTTTGCAAAATTGTAATCTTTGGAATGCATTGCACAGGGTGTAATAAAAACTATCGAAAAAACTAAAAATGTAGGGGAAAAAAAATCTCCTCCAGCTCACAGTGATCTGTTAATTAGCCTTTCGCATAATATCCTAACTTACAGACCATTTTCAAAGACAGTTTCACAAAAGTGTACAAAATATTCATATGAGACAATGTATTATATGAAGGCCAAAGGGTATAAATTATTTTACAGAAAAATTTAAATTACTTGCGAACACAGAAAAATTAGAATTGCAAAATAACATAAAAAAACACAGAAAGAAAAAGCTGCAAAGGAGAAATCAGCAGCATCAGATAGTAGAAAGCAGCAAAGTGGAAATGGCCTGCAAAAACAAAAGCTGCTGCAAGTCCATAAATAATTTTAACGTAAAAACACACAAAACAAGAAAAAAATATTGCAAGCAGCAAAAAGTTAGTTTTTTGCTGTTAGTTAAAAAAAGTTGCAAACTTGCTTTTTATGATGAAGTGCATCAGATCAGGTCTGCAAGTCACACAGAGGGTAGCGCTGTTGCCTTGCAGCAACTAGGTTCTGGGTTCAATTCTTTCTGCATGGAGTTTGCATGTTCTCCCCATGCATGCATGGTTCTCTGCGCATACTCCGGCTTCCTCCCAGAGTCCAAAAACATAACTGTTAGGTTATTTGGCTGCTCCAAATTGTCCTTAGGTGTGAGTTTGTGTGTGCAGGGTTGTGTGTCAATGTGTGTTACTGTGTTGCCCTGCGACAGATTGGCGATCTGTCCAGGGTGTATCCAGTCTCTTGCCCGTAGACTGCCAGAGATAGGCACCAGCCCCACAATGACCCTGACAATGACCTCCACCTTGGAGCCAGGCTTACTGGAATAAAAACTGATCCTCCCCACATAAAGAGCCAAAACCCAGAGGACTCAGCAGAGGAGGAACAATGGATGATTAGGAGACGAGACAGACACAAAACCCTTTTTCCTCTGGCTGCAATGATCCAGGACATGAACCTTACCATAAACAGAACTGAACAGAAAACAACATCTAATAATGATCTGGCCATGATAGCTGGAACTGACCCCAATATAAGGGAAGCTAATTAGGAGCTGGAAAGATTGAAGCAGGTGAAAATGCATGATCTGCTGCTACCACAGCAGATCATGGCTGCCATGATCTGCTGCTACCACAGCAGATCATGGCAGAAAGCTTCATTTGTTGGCCGCCGACATAGTGCTCAAATCGAAAAGATACAAGCTATGATGTAATCGGCCAACAAATCTGGCCTTCGAAGGATGCAACCGCTTAACTTTATCGCAGCCGTGTTAAGATTCAAAGAAAAACGTACTTTTTTTCTCTTCAGGCATTCTCTCTGTGTCCTGGTCTGATATGAGTATATGACTGTCTCCCCCTAGTGGTCTGAAGCACGTTCACTATGTGACAATAATTTCTGGTACTTCAAGAACTATTTAAGGCTTTTATGTTTGCAGGGCATCTCCACTTTGCTGCTCTCTAATTTTCTTGTGTGCAGCTTTTCTCCTTTGCGGTGTTCTTTGATGTGTTTTTGTCTCTGTGTATTCATCTGATGTTTGTGTTTGCTTGTATCATTTTTAGTTTTTGGTTACAGGACTTTTTAAATTTTCTGCGAAATTTTATGTTTCAACACCATTTGTACCTCTTAGCCACAGCAATATGCTCACTTTGGTAAACATTTGACACACTTATAAATAAAACAAAGTCAGTCACCAGAACTGTTCATCTTTATTTGCAAATAAATATTCGCTGTACCTGCCTCTTACAGTGTGCAAGATCTACAACATCTCTTTGGAAATCATAGAAAAATAAAATACAAGAATTGTAATAAGTATACTTGTACTTTGTACAAAAGAACGTTCTAACATTGCTCAGCAGTAGAACATGCTAAACAAACAGCATCTGATAATCTCAGGATTCATGTAGAGGGATGGGCGTTTGTGGGTGTGTGTGTGGGGGTGTGTGTGCTTGGGTTTGTGCGTGCACCTTTCCCGCTCCTGAGGGTCCAGATGCATGACCGACCACACTGTGTCCCAAAAGGCACACCTCTTTAGGTCCAGTTGGGTTTAAACTATGTTATAAAAACTGCAGATAATAATTTTTTATACCATTTAAAGAAATAACTAGGTCCTATGACTGCACTGAAACTTATGAACTCCTATAAAGTGTTTCTGGTTTGCATGGCTAACAGACTGTAAGGCATTCTGTGTATGTGTTTCTGTTACAGTCAATGCTAAAATGATTTATGAATTATGAAACTGCTGTCAATGTTTTAAGCTGCTATTCCTCAATGGTCAAAAAAAGTAAAACAGTTACGAATAATCTCTGCTAACATCTTACATCTAGTCCCGCTTCACTTTTAGAAGTGCTCCTATCAGACTAAGCTCACTGCCACTATTGCTACAACCTTTACATGATCACAAAGTATGCAAAAGCAGTTGTTAAAATCCAACCAGACACGTTCCTCTTGTTTCCTCCGATTTCACAAACTAAATCCGCTGTAGAACTGAAATAAAGTACCAGAGTTTTGGTTTTTTAGTTGTGTTTGAGTGTGTGCGTCCAGGCAAAATGACTTGATGCGAGAGGAAGAACCGTCCTTCTTAATAAAGTAAAACAACTAGAAATATTAAAATTCTGTGAACATTCATAAAGTACAACAGTGGAATTTGTGGAGTTTTTTTTTGTTCTCAGGCAATGTTTAACATTCACAATCAAACGCAAAATTAAACTGACTTAAAAAAACGGTCAGACCGGGATGGTGATTTTCTTGAAGAACCGGTGGAAGTCTGTCATTAAACAATTCATCCCCCACAGAGACGCCGAGGTGACTGCATAATACTGTATTGCTGATTTGGATTAAAATAAAATCTTTAAAATAAATAAAACCTTTTAGAAAATTTCCAGATTTACTAGGGCTTTCACATACACAACTGCACATATGTCGATATTAGGTTATAATAATAATAATTAACTGTCTATACACTTTAAACATTCATTAAATCTCTATAACGTTCTGCTTTCTTCTTCGTTCAAGTATTAGTGTACCGGATTCTTTAGACATCAGGTAACTAAAACAATCTAAATAAACCTTTATAATAAATAATAAAACTCTAAACTAAAAAATACTGAGGTTATTTCTCTTTTCAAAGGACGAAAAACAGATAGATTGCACACCCGATAGCAGCTACAAGAGCAAGAGAAAACAAAGTTCAAAGGTTCGGTAGATTACATTTGCAAATCTACATTTCTATTGTTGCTCCACACACAAAAATACGGCTGTTGCAACAAGGCATTACATTCCCTTAAGTGAGGGCCTGGGCCAGTCTGTGAAGTCCATCAGGCCTTTGGAGTCTGGTAGAACCAGGCGCACAATGTGAGGAGTGTCTGGTAGAAAACAAGTCCAAAGGGAAGAGTAGGAGACCAGGAAGGGTTCTGTTAGAATATTCTTTTCAATGAGGTGTTAAAAGTCTGCTGCGGGCTTTAGCCTGCCCTCAGTTGGATCAGACTTCACTTCCTCCTGTCTCGACTACCTGTCCATCCCAGGCTGCAACAAAAAAGGGCGTCCTCATACATGGAAACCCTTCTCCTGTTCATGCAGTAGTTGAAACTGAAGGGTCTGTATACTGCTGATGATTCGCCTCTGGTGGCCGATCAGCTCCACACCAATACGCCTCACATCTCTAGGCCGAGAGGGGAAACACAAATACAGAAACATACAAAGAACACTTTAAATATGGTGACATGCTTATTTATTTTCACACAATGATCCATCTGTAGATAGCACCTGAGCTGCTCTACCTCATAAAAAGAAGATGACAGGTACTTACAGTACTTTGAAAGAGTATTCATAGGGTAATAATTTCATATTTTGTCAAATTAAATACACAGACTGTGCTTATTTATTTGAATTTCACATGGTATGCCAACAGAAAGTAGTGCCTCGTTGAAAGTGGAGGAAAGATTAAAGTTGTAGGGAAGCGGCTGTTCCAACTGTTGTATTTCCGAATTCTCCCGAATGGTGCACAACTTTACACAAGTGAGTAAAGTGAACGTGATTGGTAGTTTAACAAGGGGGCAAGATTGTTGTGGCAGAGGGTACACAAGCAAGTTTGGTTGTAGCTGGCTTGTCGGACGCATCTTGCTAACCAGTCAGCAACTTAGTGCTAGTATGTTCCCAATGGGAAATT